GGGAAGCCCCTCTGACTGGGGCAGATCCAGAGCTGAAGGGGGGCCCTGAGGTATCTTAGACTCACAGCTCATGCCTCATTAAAAGAAAATCCTGAGACAGTGAGGATATCTGTGGGGTTGTAAATGATTGCTAGGGTGTGTTGTAGAGGCTCTGGCAAAGTCCAGGTGTTTTCCTCTGGTAAGAGGCTCTTGGGACCTCACGATATCTCTTTTTGTACAGAAACTGTAGAATGTATTTGCCTCTCAAGGAGTCAGTTGTGAGTTTGATCTGTTTGAAATGGACTGTCCACAGTCAGTGGACTTTTTTGGGATGTTTACTGCTTTTATTGAAATTGTTCATCATGCTTCTCTGATGGTGACTGGCCCCTGCTTGGGTGGGCTGACCTGTTTTCTGGTTTGGCCCATCTTTGCCTAGATAGTAGCAAACAGGCCCCTTGTTTTGCAGGGAACAGCCCACATGTATCTGATGTTTAGTGCTTCTGCAATCCCAGAGCCACCATCTGCTCAGAAATGGAGCAAAATTCTCTAGCAGAATCTAGAGGCTGGAGGTCAGGGTACTTTCTCATCCCCAACTCACTTAAAAGTGAGGCGTCCAGAGCCCTTCTGCCTCTCCTGCCAGTCAGCCTCCAGCTGCCCTCATTCTCAGGAACTCAGACCAGACCCTCTGCAGAGCACCCCAACAAAGGTGAGACTGTCTCCTCTGCTCACCTGTCGGTTCCCGCCCCTCACTGTGGCCCCAGGAGCAGCAGGCTGGGAAGCAGCTGCTGCCCAGACTGGAGATTAGGAATGCTGAACCCAGCGTGGCTGAAAGGGCTTTGCATCCCTCTAGCTGCAGCCTCCCTCCAGTCCCATCCCAACTCCCCTCTCTACTCAAATTCAAGCTGTGCCCTTCCCAGAAAAAGGGTGATGAAACCTACAGGGCAGGAACACAGAACATGGGATAAGGCAGCTGAGATCCACTGTTCTCTTGGAGCTGCCAGAGGGCAGCTGGAACAGCTTTATGGAGCTGGGCAGCATTGCATTGGTATGTGGGGAGGAAGGAGGGGAGCCAGGCTGGGCTGTTTCAGGACTACAGAGCAGGATAAGCTGTGCTTGCTAAGCCGGCTGGCAGAGGTTCATGCTGGTGGCTGAGGAAGCGGTTAGCAGTGCAGGTTACAGGGCTGGAACAGGAGAGCAGGGTAAGTGTGGAATTCCCCTGCTGTTTTCCTCTTCCCTCGCTGTCTTTTCTACTGCTGCTGGGGCCATTTCCTCCCCTGAACAGGTTTCTCTTGTGTAAATTGCTTGCATGATTACTGCTCCACTCAGCCAAAGCAAGGAGCTGGGAATGAGCTGGTCCTGCTGCAGGCAGAGACCTTATCTAGAGAGGGAAAAAACTTGTCGAAGCAAATTCAATTGAATGCTGGATACCCTGATTTAAGGTGCTTCTGGGGTGATATGGTTAAGGGAGAGGCTGTTTTGTGGACAAGGTGTCTTGCTCTACAGATGGGGGAATCTGCATGGTCAGTTCCTTTTCTAAAGAGATGGAAAAGGATAGCCAGAGAACTGGTGAGACTTCATCAGTTCTGCTTGTGTGTCAGAGCTCGGTGTCACCCCTTACCCTGTTCTCATGCCTCCAGTCCTCATGTGTGGGAACTTTTCCTACTGGACACTTAAGGTCACTCAGAAGTTGGAGATGAACAGCACTGTGGAAATGGATGCTCTCCTAAGCTAGGACCACTTTGGGCATGGCATGTTCACTCCCTGGGATATCCCCAGGGATAGCCCCAACCTCTCTGCTCCAGGGTTTTTATCTCTCTGATGATGGGTGGAACACTTTGTGCCAGGTGTGTCCTATGCCTTTGTGATTCAGAGTGTTGCTGGGACAGCTGGTGAGCAAGTGGAAAAGCTGAGAATGAACCCAGCAGTCTGTACTCCTGCTGTGTTTCCCTTGCTCACAGCTCCTCCATCCCGTGCCCTTTTCAAAACTCCCTGTTGCCCTTTCTGACAGTTCCACCCCTGTGGCTGCAGCCAGAAGCACTGCAGGCAAGAGGATGGGGAGGGAGGGAGCAGGCAAGTGGAGGAAAGCAGAGGAGAGATGTGCAGGCAGCCCAGGATGGGCAAGGATCTGAGTATGGCAGGGCAGAGGGCTTGTTCTGGCAAGGGCACACTGCTGTGGCTGAGCAAGGAGAGGTTCTGGCAGTGAGTGGGTGTCTCTCCATCGCCATGCCCTAGCTCTGGCACACGACGTGCCAGCATGCAGCAGCTCATCAGCAGCTGGGCCGTGCGACTGTTGTGACACAGAGAGTGGTGTGCTTGTAGCCTCGGTGGAAAAAAGTGAAGATTGGCACAACGCCTGCACCTCAGGTCTCCTGGGTGTAAGAGGTTTCCTGAGTTAGGAGACAATCCCAATTCCTGGCTGGCAGCACTGCAGTGGCGCAGAATGCCTCAGTGCTCATGTGCTCATGGTGGGCTCCTCACAGCCCACTGGCCGTGTGATGATTCCCCCAAGTAGCTCAGGTTCTTGCAGCCATTTCAGGAAGTTGAGGGCTGATAATGAGGAAAGGCGGGAATGAATGCAGAAATGAAAGCCCAGGAGGAGGCTGCAGCCGGGTGGAGAAAGAAGGGGAAGGGTGGAAAGCATGCATATCCCAGCTGAGAGGAGAAAGCCGGAGCTTTCCAGGCGAATGGCCATCCCTATTGCCTGTGCATCATGGGTGCCCAAACTAGCTCAGTGTCAGCCCAGCCCCGAGCGGCTTTGCTGCCTTGTTGAGCTGCAAAGGCAGCCGGGCTGCTCGGGGGTTTCCATCTCCCCCAGGTGACTGCCCTACTCGTCCCTACATGATAGTGCCGTGTGGTGTGGGTAGTGACAGAGGGGTCCGGGGGATTCCTGGGGCACGAGGGCTGTCTGCTGTGGGACATAACCATGAGCACTGCTCTCTCCCCTGGGAGCCCAGCGTGGCTCTGGAAAGCGAAAGCACCAGCGGTTTAAAGTTCATGCTGAATTGCCGTGGAAAGTCCCTTATTTGAGCAGTGTTAACTCTGTTGTATCTGAAAAAGTCAGATCCTGCAGCCTCTTCCCTCACTTGGTGCCTGGGAGCAGGTTTGGAGAAACGGGGGCTGTCCCTGCAAGTGTGCAAAGGACACCTCAGCTGAGGTGCTGCCCGAGGGATTGGTGCAAAACCCAGCAGGGAACCTCCCTACTGAGATCATACCTAAGCTAGGGTTACTAAAAGCCTGATGAGGGGAGGGCTGTCCTTACAGCTGGTTGCCCTGCTCCTGGGCTGGGCCCCTTGGCTGTGCCTCTGCCTCATGGTCCATGGAAGGTGGCCAGACCCTGCCCATGGGTCTGCATGGCCCCTCCAGCCCCCTCCCCTGCCCTGGGAGTGCTGGCAGTGAGGGGACACCCCATGGCTGTGCAGAGGGAAGCAAGTGTGGGTGGCGTCCCCCTTCCAGTGGGGAATTCCCTGCTGCAACATAACCTGGGGCTTCCCAGGGGACAAAGCCTCTCCTGTTGGGCACAGCCTGTCCCTGGCAGCAGGGTGGAGAGGAACTGGCCCTGTTTTGCCTTCAAAATCAGGTTTCAACTGAAGATGCCCGGGGTCCCAGATGCTGTCTTGATCTTCAAGTAGGACTTGGGAGGAGGTCAATAAAAGACATTCTTGGGGACTGGTCTCTGAACTTCTCAGCAAATTTATGTCCCAGTGCAACTGGCAAAAAGACAATCCCAATCTCACTTCTTGTCCGCAATGCTTTAGCGCCAGGTGTTGTTCTCCTGCCTGTGGAGGGATGCTCTCTATGCCCCACATTGCTGGTGGCATCCCAAAGCTGGGCTGTCTGGGGAGTAGAGTGTCTTGCCAGGGCTGGCACAGCTCTCGCCCTCCATCTCTTCACCCTGTCAGTCTCCATCAAAGTAGCATGGATGGCAGAGCCCAGCCTTCAGTTTGGAGCTGGTTCCTTTCAGAGACAGAGGCCACCCAGGGCCTCTAGTGCAGTGGTGAGGGGTCAGGGGGCTGAGCTCATGTCTGCCCTGCTGTGCAGAGTAGGAGATACTGCCTGCTGACCATGGTAGCCAGGTTTGGCCTGTGGGGGCTGCCCTGTGGTGGGAGGATGGGCCCTTCAGTGCAGGGGTGTGGGAGACAGGAGGTTGGCAGAGGGGACTGGAAATTCCCTCTCAGCACTGCCTCTGTTGTGCTCTCGCTTCTCTTCTGACTGTGCAGGGGCCTGGAAATAAGACCAGTCCTTGCGGTGGGGGACTCGGGTGCCTGGCCACCCCATGGCTGTGGGGACCACAGTCCTGAGGACCAGAGCTCCCTGCTTGCCACTAAGTTCTGACAGATGCATCTCAGGTGTCCTTTGTGCTTGTGGGCTGTGTGCCAGCCCTGCCATGACAGTGCTAGAAGGGAAGGATGTGGGGAAGAGAAGAGGAAATCGGTGTGGGACTGGCAGATCAGCTGGCATAGGGACTGTGCCATGCAGGTGATCTTGGACCAGCCCTGGGCTGCTGCCCAGCTTTGACTGTTTGCCTTTGTGGAGGGGACAGCAGAAGTACAGTGTGCAGCTGGCAGTAAGGAACTGGAATTCCCCGGGTAGCTGCCAGAGCCCAGACCTCTCTCCACAGCCACCAAACCCCGCTCCTGAACTCTGGGAAAGACATCCAGGCTCTTTGGACCTACACCAATTGGAGGCCTGGCTTTGGGCAGTGCCACATTAAAAAGCTACACATCTGTGAGGTGTGAGGGAGGACCCTGTGTTGCTTAGCAGGGACAGGAGGATCTGTTCCCTGTGAGGATCGGAGTGAAGGACTGCCCTGTGGAGCCTGAGACCATGTTCCTGCCTTGGCCCTCTGCTGAGCTTCCCAAGGGAAAGGGCAGGATGGAGGACCTCTAAGCTAGAGGGAAGGAGATGGAGGAAGCAGGGAGATTCTTCTTCCCTGCTCCTTCATGCAGCAGGGAAGGAACTCTTCTCCTGGGCATGGCTTATTTTTCTTTCTTTTCTCTCCTGTCACCATTAACCCATTGTAGGTTGGTTCATCTGGCTATTATCCACTGTGTCCCAGCTGTAGCACTCTGCTGCATCGCTCAGCTGCCCAGGGAAGTGCTGGAGATCCAAAATGATCTTTTCCAGGTATGCTGTTGTGATAGGCAGAAGATGGGAGAAAGAAATGCCATAGGCTGTTCCCTGGATAGCTGCTCAATCCATCTGCCCCTTCCCCAGAACCCCACACCTGCTTCCCCCAGAGCATGGTGAAGGTCCTGTGTGTGTAGTCTCTTTGCGGGGAGGGGAATAAGAGAGGTGGAGATACCCTGAGAGAGAAGTGTGACAGCTCCCAGCACTGTGGGATGAAGAGCTTCTTTGCAAGGCCTCAGGATATTGCAGACAGCCATGGAAGAGGCATGGCTTGAATGTGGCAGGGTAGATAACTTGGGAGAATGAGATGTCTCCATGGGTGATCCATGAGCTGAGGTGCAGGGGAACAGCAAGCCATGTGACCACACCAGTGTCAGCCACATGTAACGTCACAACAGGGATGGGGGTGCCCTGCGTGGCGGTCAGCTCTTGCTGCCAGGCTAGCTCCTGGAGACTGGTGGGGCTCATCATACCTGGTGTCCTACGAGGCATCTTCCCCTCTCCTAATTTCTCTCCAGACCCCGCTCCACCTTGCTGTGTACCTGGAGCAGCCCAGCGTGATCCAGGCACTGATCCACAAGGGAGTGAACCCTGGGCTGCAGGACCGTAACGGCAACACCCCGCTGCACTTGGCCTGTGAGCAGCAGTACCTGCAGTGTGCCCAGCAGCTGCTGAAGGGCCCAGCCACACCAGATGGCACAACTCAGCCCCATGGGTACCACCAGGACCTGCAGCTCCAGAACTGGCAAGGTGAGACATGGGGACAGTGCAGTGGCAGAGCTGGTGACCAGATTAGGGCAAAGACCATGAGATGTGTATGCGGGGATCCAGGAGCACAGCAGAATGGGAATGCGGATGGGATTGGTGTGCCCCAGGGTGGTCTGGGCTGACAGTGGCTCTCTCTTCTGCCTCCTCATCACAGGCTTGGCCTGCCTGCACATCAGTACCTTGAAAGGGAACATCCCAATGATGTCTCTGCTCCTGGAGAGTGGCGCCAACATTGATGTTCGGGTAAGACTGGGCATGGCGTGATGTTTTGTAAAGGCTGGGATGGTGGGTCTTTCCTTTTGGCACTCCCTTCAGCCCTGGGGCAGGCACTGCTGTGAGGCTTGGGAGCACTGAATTTTGAGGGAGCAGAGTGTAAAGATCCTTGAGAGGTTGTTGGGTGCTGTGACAGAAATCAGGGTGGGGACTGCCCTCTGCACCCAGTCAAAGGGGTGTGGGTGGGTGCTGCAGGGCCCAGCTGAGGGGGCCCCCCACCCACACCCTTGTGATCTGTGGGTTCCAGGAGGGTACGAGCGGGAAGACCCCATTGCACCTGGCTGTGGAGTGCCACAACTGTAGGGCTGTCCAGTTCCTGCTGCGCAATGGGGCGTACGTGGATGCCCAGATGTACAACGGGTGCACTCCACTCCACCTGGCCGTGGGCCGCAAGGATGCTGCCATCGCTGCCATCCTCTCACACTCTGGGGCTGACACCCTGCTGAGGAACATGGAGAATGAGACAGCTCAGGACCTGGCTGATGGCAACGATGATGTGAGTCTCTATGGGGGGAAGCCTGTGGCTCTGCAACTATGTCAGGAAGTTCAGGAGTTGGATGATTAGAGGGACCCTCCTAGTAGGAGTTTCTAGGTGTTCCTATCCTTCCCTATATATTGTAAGCATTGGCTCTGTGATGTGTGGGATAATTGCCTTTTGCCTTGAGCCCTAGGAATAGCCTAAATAGGGCTTCTTGGTACTTCCCTGGGGATGTGGGAGGTTGGAGGACTGGGCAGGGGGAAGATTTGGGCCCCTACCCCGGCCTGGTGGAGACACAACCCTGGTTGCTTATGTGTCTATACCCTTGATCTTTGCAGCTCCTTGCCTTGCTGCCCTTCGATGACCTGAAGATCTCAGGGAAGCCTGTTGTGTGCTCTGAATGAGCAGATGGACTCCTTTGGCCCATTGGGCTGCCTCCTTCCTCGGTGCTGCTGCCCTGCTGCCCACTGGATGTTGCCTGCCTGCAGTTCAGTGAGAGCAGAGACACTTTGGGAGACTTATCCCACTGCCCCTCCCCTTTTTGGAAAAGTTTTGTTTGCCTCAGGCTGCCTTCCCAGATGGAAGAAGGTGGCGTTATGAGCACTACACAGGGGAGGCTTTTCTTTTAGAATCTGTGTATTGCAGCAGGACTGAATTTCCCCTCCCTGCCATGACTCTGACTTGTGGGGGTCTCCAGCATACGCAGGGAAGGAGTAGGAGAGGACTCATTTTCACATTGTAGGCTGGACAGAGCATTGTCTGGCACCCCATCAGAATAAGTGTGGGGTGAGGAGAGTCAACACTTACTCTAATAAATGTTTGTTGTTGCTATGGGCACCAGAGGTCTCATGTGATCTAACCCACCCCACACCCCACAGTGTCAGGAGGCTGTGCATCACTGCGGGGGCTTGGGGATGTGAGGGCTACAGGGGTTTCCCCAGTCTGCCTGCTCCCTCAGGTCTTTCACACTGCACAAGGTGAGTGGGAGCACAGGGCCTTCCCGACTTGCAGAGCCTTTCTAGTGCTCAAGGCCGAGGCCAGGGATCCCAGTAGGGTGCTCTATTCCCATGCTGTCTTGCCAAACATCTGACTGCAGTGCTGGAGAAAGAGCATAGGAAATGCAGAAGACCAGGTTGTGGATCCCTGCTTCTGCCATTGTGACTGACACCTTGCTGCTTTACTGTGCTGTGGTTTCCTCTTTCACAGAGGACAGGACGATCCTGCCCCCTCTCCTGCCTTGGAAGGGGGTTAAAAAACTTAGGGTATGGGTCTTCCTTGGGTTTTACATCCTCCCAGGCTGAAAGTGGAAGAGGTGGCAGCATTATCTTCCCATCCCTCCTGTTGTTCAGCTCACCACCCTTCCCTGCCACTTACTTCTCCAGCCAGAGGAGCACATGCAGTGCATTAGGAAATCAGCCAAAGGTGCTGTGGGAATGGAGGCACAGATGTTGTATGCCATCTCAGCCAGGAAAATTCCTCACTTGTTGTGTGGGAGCAGCTCCTATTGTTTAGCACAAATACTGGATGGTGCAATCGACCAGGATGCTCTGGAGTGAGCTTGTCTTCATCCTCCCTTCTTGTAAGGGAATACTGCCAGGAAAGCAGCATAAAGACACCCCACCTCACCCCCCTCAAGGCCTCTGGATTTTGCCCTTGTTTCCTCAGCAGTCCTGAGCTGGATTGCTCTGTTTCGTTTAAATCTTTGCCTCACCTTCTGGCAGGGCCTCAACCCTGCTGCAAACCCATGGGGCTGTTTTGAGGACATCTTTCACAGGTGACATGAGGCACTTCCAGGCTGCTCGAAGAAGCAATGACATGCTGCAGGGCAGTGTGGAATGGTGTGGCCAGGGCTGTAGCTGGGAGCAAAGGGAAAAGGCAGAAGCAAGTGATCTGCACATTTTTGTTTGTTTTGTTACTTTAAAATAAAACTCTTTGTTTTAAAAAGATGTCTTGTAAAACATCACTGGGTGGCCACGTGCTGGCTCCAGCCAGCCCTGCAGCTACGCCTGGGGCTGGGATAGGGGATTCAGGAGTGGGGCTGCAGTAGGTGTCATACTGACCTGCAGCTGTGGCTGTGCTCAGTGCAGGGCTGGCACCTTGGAGGGTTAACCTGAGACAGGGGGCAGGGATGGAGCCAGGAGTCAGCTTTGAAGGCTTTTAGCTTGAATCAAGAATAGTGTGACCATCAGGACAATGGGAAGTCATTGTCCCTCTTCATTTGTGAGGCCTCCCATTGTGTCTTGTGTCCAGTACTAGGCCCCTCACTTCAAGAGGGTGCTGGAACACATCTAGAGAAGGGCAAAAGAGCTGGTGAAGGAAGGGTTTGGAGCAAAAGCCCTATGATGAGCTGCTCAGGGAGCTGGGAGTATTTAGCCTGCAGAAAAGGAGGCTTAGGGGAGACCTTGTCACTCTCTACAACTCCCTGAAGGGTGGGTGTAGCCAGGTGGGGATCAGCCTTTTTTCCCAGGCAACTAGTTCCAGGACAAGAGGACATTACCTCAGGCTCTGCCAGGAGAGATTTCGGTTGTATGGTAGGAGGAATTTCTCTACAGAATGGCTGATGAGACAGTGGAATAGACAGGCCAAGGAAGGTGGTGGAGTCACCTTCCCTGGAGGTGTTTAAGGAAAGATGGGTTTCAGTGCTATGGTCTGGTTGAGCCGGTGGTGTTCGGTCATAGGTTGGGCTCGATGACCTCAGGTCTCTTCCAACCGGACTGATTCCGTACTCCGGTGATCACGGCCCCCGCCGCCGCTCTCCCTCCGGGGCGGCGGGGGCGCTGTGGGGCGCGGAGCGCGCCCGCCGGGCGGGGTTCCGCCGCGGCGCCGGGAGCGGAGCTGAGGGGAGCCGGCCGAGAGCGGGCCGGGCCGGGCCGGGCCGCAGGTGGGTAGCGAGGCCAGGGCGGGCGCGGGGGGCGGGCCGGCCCGCGGGCAGCAGCTGCCCTGCTCGGTGAGGGCAGACGAAGGCTGCCCCGCGCTGCCGGCCGGCTCGCTGCGAGCGTAGCCGCCGGGCAGGGAGGCGGCGCTGGGGCCGCGCTCGTCCCGCAGCCTCGGGCAGAGAAGCCCCGGAGCGGCGGGCGTAGGGCTCTCCCCTCCCGGGAGCCCCGCGCCGTGCCGCGGCCGGCGGGGAGCGGCAGCCCCCGTGCCTTTGCTCCTGACCCCTGGGCAGAGGCAGCGGTCGGCCCTGGGGGGACAGTGGCGGGCACCCCCTGCTACCCGGGTGCGTAAAGGGACAGGGACAGGGAGCAGACACGAGATCTCGAGATGTCAGTATCGACTTTTCAGCTCCGAGCTTGCATTTGACCTCAGCTCTTCCAGGCGCTGGAGGCGCGTTGAAGAATATTAGGACTGTAGGCAGGGATCTTTTTCAGAGCCGGGACCCAAATTGTCCATCCCAGTTCGAGGGCTTGATGCCAGCCCGGCTCTGAAGCGGTGCCTTTGAGAGCTGCCCTTGCAGTGCGCAGGAGAGCAGCGGCCGGCTCTGTTGTCTCGGCTCTTGGGCTGCTTCGTAGACTAAGGCTCCTTTCATGCCTGAGCATGTTGCCTGCTCAGCCCCCCCGCTTTCTACCTGTAACACTGGGGTCCCTGTTCCTTCCCAGCCTCGGCAGAGAGGGCAGGGCCTGCTGCACTGAGTCAGCTCTCGGGGCCTGGGAATTGCTAGCGCAGGCATAGAGAGCCATTGTCCCTCCATAGCCTCCTCTTCACGGTCGCTGTGGGAGAGCGGAGCTGATTCTCCTCCCATGGTAGTGCTGCAGGAGCTGGCGGGGTAACAACAGGCGCAGTCGTGCTGAACAGAAATTGCAGTCCCTCTCAAGTTGCAAATGTGGCAACAGACCCTGTCATTTATATCTGACTTCTGCAAAAGTGAGTGGCGTTTCTGCACCCCACTGTCAGCCACAGTTACTTAATACGGACAAACCCAGGAGCACATGGGCAGCTTCAGCCCCAGGTGCGAGCACCGAGCCCTGTTTTTGCATCCCACAGCACCTGTACAGCTTGTGATGATGCCCCTGCAGCGGGAGAGATTGAGTGAAGGTGTCAGACTGTCTTTTCCAGGAGAGGGGGGAGACAGGGGAGTAGGAAGAATTCGAAGCAATTCACCCCTAGCTATGCGAGTATTGTGCACCTCTCCCTCGTCTGGGAATTTCTACGTCTTTAAAGTCGCAGAAGGGAGTTTTCTGGGTGAAACACAACCTCAGCTTTGGTCAGCCCCAGGAACTCCAAGGGCCTAGCCACAGTAGCTGAGAATTAGAAAAGTCCCTGAGGTCTTTCCCAAGGGGACAAGAGGTTGGTGGGAGTGCTTGTTCATGAAATGACAGGGGACTTTTTTGCCTTTAAAGTCCTTAAGTTTGTAAATCTCTTGAGTTTTGTGTGGGGGCTACTAGAGGTCACAGTTATACAACATTAGGGCCAGGTACATTTCTAAATAGGGCTTAAATTCCTCAACTCACTTGTTTCAGGGGGAGGAGGAATTAACATCTTTCAGTAACAGGAGCTTTTCTGGTACATGTTTATGTAGCCAGCCCACAGCACTATCACCCAAGGCAAGTGGGAGGCTTTTTCAGCTGAGGGATGTAGCATGGACCAGGGGAACCTTCTACCCTGATGCAGGAAGCTGTAGCTTGCTTTGTGAGGGGAGGATACAGGTGGCCTTGGGTGTAGGAAGTTCTTGCCTGGTTGCTCATTCTGTTGAGTACTGTGAATATTGCAGGTTTGCCTCTGTGAGAGAGAGGACTGTGAATGGAAGAATTCCTTCAAGGACTTTTAAAGCTGGCTAGATCACTTCCTACAGCTACAGCTGAAGAATATCACCTATACCTCATTGCATAATCCTGGTAAAATCCCAACCAGACAGCTAGTAGGAAAGTTCCTTTCCAGCCTCGCTTTCTCACTGTGTTTTGCCAAGCGGGTGAACCCTGGTAATTTCCTCTGAGCTGTGAGGAATGCCTTGGCACACTTCCAGGGCTGCATGGGAAGGTGGGGGAGGCTGGCAGCCCCAAACCCTGCCTCTCCTCCACTTATCTAGTGTAGCTGGAGGGGAAAGCTCTGAACTGTTTGTTTCCAGAGGAGGGTTGCTCATTGCCACAGGCTTGAAACATGAGCTTCTAAGTAGGAGTCAGTTCTGTTCAGTGACCTTTTCCTTTTCCACCCAAAAGCTGTGCTAAAGTTTAACTTATAAAGCTGAGGTGTGAGGTGCTCCTTGTATTTGGAGTAAGAGTGTAATCAAAACCAGATGGTTACATCAGTGTTCTCTCTAATCCTGGGAATCCAAAGTTCTAAGTCCACATGATCCAGAGCAACCACCTTTAACAGGAGCAAACATAGATGTCTGGCCTGTGCTTTTCAGCTCCAGAGGACTCTTCCTACTCTGTGTGCTGCCAGTATCACTGTTCTCACTGCAGTGGGGTCTAGGTGGCCATGTTGCAGGTGATGAGGATCAGGCTGGAGGATGGGTATTACAGGCATGTGGAGTGCCCATGTACCAGTAGCCCACCACCTGCCTCTTTCTCTCTCCACAGATTTTGCATTCCCCTCCTGCTGACTTCCCTCCCTACCATGGCTACAGGTGAAGAGATCGCCCCTGCCCTGCAGGACTCCTGGGGGGACTTCTGGTTCTTCCGTTTCTTTGTTAATGCTGCTGGCTATGCAAGTATTGTGGTACCAGGCTTCCTTCTCATCCAGTACTTCAAGAGAAGGAACTACTTGGAGACAGGTAGGAGTGGGAGCTTCCCTTCTTCAACCTGCATTGTCATATTTGAGCCACTCACAGATCTGTGTCCCAGTGCTTTCCAGCTGCTATCCTGAAACAAATTTCTCTGAGGCCCCCATGCTAGCAGATC